GTTGGCAGGGCTAACTGGACCTTGTTGTGCATCCACAGGTGCATCTCAAGTAGGGCCAAGGAGGTGATTCTCTCCCTCTGTGCAACACTGGTCAGGCCACAGCTGGAGTTCTGTGCGCCCCATTTCAGGAGGGATGTGGACAACATTGAAAGGGTCCAGAGGAGGGCCACCAGCAGGATCCAGGGACTACAGGGCAGACCCTACATTGAAAGGCTGCGGGACCTAAACTTGTTCAGCCTTCACAAGAGAAGGCTGAGGGGGGACCTGGTGACTGTCTACAAACTCACTGGGGGGGGACCAGAAGGGTTTAGGGGAAAACACTTTCCCCTAGCCCCCCCTGGCACGACGAGAAACAATGGACACAAATTATTAGAGAGTAGGTTTAGATTAGACATCTGCAGGAACTACTTCACAGTTAGGGCGGCTAGGAGCTGGAACCAACTTCCAAGGGAAGTGGTGCTGGCTCCTACCCTGGGGGTCTTTAAGAAGAGGCTGGATGACTTCCTGGCTGGACTCATTTGAGTCCAGTCTTTTCTCTGGCCCAGGCAGGGGGGTGTCAGACCTGAAGATCTACAAGGTCCCTTCCAACCCTACTTCTATGATACAAAGGCAATCAGATTGGTACCCTGGACATCCACTCTTGTCTTGACCCAGGTTAGGTCACTCAGTGATTTGAGGCACTGGAAAAAAGAAAGACAGTCCTTGAACTATAAGACTTGGTTGAGAAAAATTTAAACTGTAGGTTGAGTTATATCCTATTGTACTATTAGCCCTGGCAAGCTGGTGCTCAAGACTGAAAGTGTTTTCAGATCTACTAGAAAGAACTGTAGATTGGGGTTGCAGGTCCCGACTTTTCTAGCAGTACTGCCATAATCACAAAAGTTTATTTTTAGCTTTTTTAGTTATGGCTACCACTGGGTAATGGTTTCAGAAGGGAAAAAAAGCAGCAATTTTTTTTTTTTTTTTAAGACTAGAGTCAGGAACCATCTGACCGCCTGGTTATCAAGTTCTAGTATTTTCATCCTTGAGCCAAAGATTAATCCCTTTCACCCAAGCTTGCCAGTAGCATTCTAGCCAGACAGTTTTGTTTTGATAGACAACCTAGCACTTGGAGATCAATTCTTTTAAGCTAAAAGAAGTTGGGGGGGGGGGGG